CTTATTTTTTTAGCGGGAAATTCCTCAGTTTTCCACTTTATAACACCGTTCTTCGTAAGGATGAGTGTTTTTGGGAGGCTTTGTTAGGCATACATTTTTCTTCTTCGTAAAGTTCTAGAGGTCTTGTTTGTAAATGGAAGGAAAGCTATAGGAATTTTGGTCTATCTAAAATTTTTTTGTGGGCGGGGTTGATTGAGGTAAGGTGAATCATTAGCTATGCGCTCAAGTATTTCTGGAGTAGATTGTACAGAAATGGTGTTTTTTTTGAATCTGATATAATTTATTAGCTAGTTTCGTTGGGCGTACACTTTGACGAGCGATTTGTGAATGAGTGCAGCCAAGTGCTTTAGCTTACATTATAGTCATTTGGAAAGGTTTCAGCATACTCTTTATTGCTTCTCCATGTTGAAAACATTTTGAGCTTACGTTTCTAGTAGAATTCCAGCGTGACTCATGGTTTGATTACGCTCATTTTATTTACCCTCATGCAAAGATTTTAAATTTGCGATGAATTTGGAGAAATTTTTTGACTGTAATGTGATTTACCTGACTATATGGTTGGTTAAGGAGGTGTTGTTCTTTTGTTATCGTAATTTGGTAGAATGTTTCAGCTAATTGCGATTCTAACAAAATTTCTGAAGCTATTGTCGTCTTTTCTTCAAAGCGGATATTATGCTTTTGTTTCGTGATATACTAACTTTGTATTTCGGAAGTGCTTATAAGTGCATTTGTGTCTTATTTTCTTTGGAAATAAGGCGGCATCGAATTTTGCGCTGTTGAAAACTGTACAGAGTTACCATGACAAGGACGAAACAGTGATGGTCGCCATGAAGCTTGGTTAACCGCGAATTCCGTCTTCTACTTTAGTTCCTATTCTTTTCAGTTTGGCTTTGACCGGCGTTAATAAGCAGTGTGCCTTTTTGGCAGCAATTCCCGAGAACCAGTAATACTGGCTTTTAACCAGCTTAGTTCAGGAGTGTTTTACTTTTCTTAAATTTAGTGTTGGAGTTTTCTGAGAGCTTTTCAGCGCTGTGCTAGTCCTTCCCAGTGATGATCTTGGAGGTTTGCTTGAATTCCTTTAATTTCATCAGCAGACTCATTAGGTAGGGGCTCCTCACATTAGCACCAAATGAGAACTAAAAAGATTAGACAGGTGAACCTGAATTATCAGAATTTTATGTGAGCAATTTTTGCTCGTTAATGTTTATGAAAGAAAGGAAGAAGCAAGTCATCACCTTATTTAGAAAGCAATCTTTAGAACTTTTCAATAAATGTAGGCTGGTTCTGATGTTCGCCTCACGAGTGCGCGAAATCTCCGGAATTACAAAAACGCGAAGCGGTGCACAAAAAAATGACGTGATTTAAAAAAAAATACATATATGTGGGCCATTCCATGCCAAATTGCGCACTTTTCTTTTCATATAATATTCTTGTCCTTGAGCGGAATTGGGAAATGGTTAGCAGGGCGCCAGCTTTACTGCGTGACTAAAACGGCAGTTTTTTATGCTTGACAAGGTGCATTTAACATCGGAGAACTGATGAGACACAACGATAGTGCGGATTCTATGTTTTCTGGACTGGTATTTGGGAATTACATCTGTTGAGATCGTACCTTCTCAATGCAAGTGTGCTCTTGACGGCTTACTGGTAAACAATGCACTGTTTATACCTATTACCGTCACACTCTGTTTTGGTTCTGACCTCAGCACCGGGTTATTTTAAGTCAGCTTACAGTAAGCTTTAGTTATAATCGTCTTTCCATTGTAATGGATACTCCGTGAATTCTTCTCAAGACTATTGTCCGAACTTATGCAAGGTTTGCAAGAAAGAACATTATTTTCTTTAAATATTACTTTTAGTCTTAGCACTTTCTGTTTATTTGAAGGTCTATTGATAGTGATACCTTAAAAATTGTTTTAGTTTATTGCAGTTGTTCAAGTTTCTTAACTTTTTGAATTTGTCACCAGTTTTAGCATCGCAACTGCAAAAGAGTGTGACAAATTCTTATCCTCTGTGCGTTTATTGCATGATAACATATTCAAAAATGCTCTATTTTTGAAAAACCCGATGTATTCAATGTTTTTAAGCTTAGTTGAATCCCACCTTAACTTTTTTTGAAATGCAGATTACCACAAGTCTGAATTATATTCGAGATATAGTTAGACGCATTCTGCGTACTGTTTGCAAAATGAGTGGTTTGGTGGTTCAGAGTTATGAGACTAGGCAAGTTGCGCCAAAAGAATTTGTTTCACAATTGAGAATATCTTTTGTGACTATGCTAAACATATCAGTATGTAGACCTGCTCTAAAAAGCAAATTTTACTGTGGAAAATGTTCGTGAAAAAAGTTGTTTGTGTTTTCCACTGCGTTTATTCCTTTCATTCTGCCTGATTTTCATCTACAACGCACGAACGGTGGTTTACACCGATTATTTCAGCTTTTTGTAAGGTGAACATTATTTTGATTAGAGTAGAAAGAACGCAATTCAGCTTACTGAGATAGAAACGCATATGTGAGAAGTGTCTTTTTGTGAGGAGTCGTTATGCGTGACGTTTCTTATTTGCATAACACATTACAAGTAAGATCAGATGCTTTTTTGTTTGATCTGTTAAATTTCTGCCAAACTTTTCTGATCTGTAGACTTTTGGTTTGAAATTCTGAACTGTGACGACCCAGAAAGGAGTAGGCTCTATAGAATAACAAATAAAGTGATTTTTTTACTGGACATAGTCATCGTTTTTTTTTAACTGGCTTTTAATATTTTTATCCATCTTGATGATGTGCCTCTTGTATTTTCTCTAAAGTGATAAAGTTTATGTGTTAACAGCGTACAAAAAAGTTGTAGTGGAAAGAAGTATCTAAACGTAGCACTTGTTTTTATTCTTCTTGGAAAAGCATTTGGAAGATATATGCGGGATAAAAATAACAAATTTACAACTCGGGCCTTCAGTGGTACTGGAAGTCAAGGAGCAATAAGGGAAGCTGGGTGGCAAAGTCTATGCTTTTATTGCGATTTGACTTTCTCGAGCGGGCAGATTTGAATCCTTCGCTGTGAGCTTATTGGCGATAGAACTGTAAAAAAAAATTTTTTTTCGCTACCAGAATAGTTTTGAAATGTTGTAGAATTAGCAGAAAACCATTTGCTCTCTGCTCTGTCTGGTGGCTGGCAACTTTGAAATATTTGGTATAAAGGTAATTTTAGTATGAAAAAATCAAAACATTTTCTGAACGCTTTGTTTTTCTTGTATCGTGCTTCACGATTTTCATAGTTGATTTTAATGAGTTAAAGAAGTTTCAGAGTTTGGGCAAAAACATTCGTTTATTGGTAATGAACAATTTACTGCCTCAGTCAATTGTTATGCACGAAAAGTACGATTTGAAAGGTTCAACCTATAAAAGGTATGCATCAAAGTCAGAAAGAGCTAAAGCTTCTCCAACGTTAAAGGATTTGGATTTTGTGAAGGAACATCCCGAGGGATTTCATCTCGAATCTGCTTCGTATGACGCTCTTGTGAAAACTTTAAGTCGAGATTGTCTTGTATGTTTTAAACTTGACAGATTTTTGGTATTTCTTTAACTGCAACAGGACTTAATACTGTGAAACAAGGGAACATATTAGCGATCTTAAAAAACCGTTTTCGAGGGATAATCTGGAATCTTCAGCATAAGTCTTTAATATGGCTCACGTAAATTTGTATTTGGAAGAAATCAAATGTTTTACA